AGTTTCGAATTTGTCGCTCAACCTTCCCATGACACTTGTCACCCCGTCATGGGGGGCCGACATCGGCCAGCTACAGGAGAACGCAGAGGCGGGCCAAGCGGCAATCCAAATCGCGCGGAGCATGACAGGCAAGTACCTCGGGTATTATATCGGCCCCGGGAAGCAACGCACATCGCGGGACAAGCCGCTTGACAAGTGCACCTGTCGTCTGGGCGATTGGCGCTGGAGCGAGCTTGGCCTCGAACTGGCCCTCGTTGCCTACAACGTCTACGTCCTACCAGCGCTCGCGTTTACAGCCCAACTTGAAGTACCGCCTCAGGAAGTAATCGGCGGGGAACGAATGGCTGTTCGGCGCGTGGCGCCCGGGCCAGGCTTCTGGTGTTCTTCTTCTGACTTGCACGATGGCGTGGACTTCGGTCTCGCTGCCCACCTACGCCCGCTGGAGATCTCATGCCGATCGTGGATGCTCCGAGAACGCGCGTGGGAATCCCGACGCGACGGCGGCATTGACTGGAGGGGCGTGGCGACCGAGCTCATCGCGGCGAGGGGCCGCGCAGATCGCGCAGTGCGAGTTGCTCGATTCTCTGCATGGCTTGATCGACGTACCCCCGCGACGGTCTCGGCGGAGGTCGAGCGGCAGGCGCGGGGCGGCGCGCGCATCCACGCAGCAAGGGCCGCGCTCGGCGGCGTCGCCATCGGCCCGCTCGCAGAGCAGAAGGACAGGGTATTCAGAAAGGGTATTTAAATCTGGTTAACAGACCGCCTCTTGGCTCGCGACGGCTACTGCGTGGAGCGTCGTCTCCAGTCGCGTCTGGCTTGTTGGCGACTGCCAGAGTTGCCCGGCCGTGCGGCCCGGCGGGTGACCCAGCACCTGCGGCGCCTCAGGCAGCTTGCCCCGCCCTGGATACGGGCTGCTATGCTCCGCACCATCTTCAACCGATGGACAACGAACCGACGAATGTGCTCTCTCTGGGAGGGCCGCCGGGTCTGCGTTCTCGGGTGTTCTTGTACGGCGGGCGACTCTGTGGAACACTGCATGCGTTGCCCCGTGGGCCAGGCGTGGTCCGGAAGGCGGTTGGGATGGGAGGTGACAGAACATGGTCTTTCGCAGGGAATGCTCGCATCGGTGAAGACGGACACCTAGTTGCAACGACAGGCGATTACCAACTACGTCCTATATCGCGCAGTGAATGATTTGCGTCGACGGCCGCTTCAGCCGAATGCTGAGCGCAGGGAGGCTGCCAACGCGATCGTGGACCAGCTCGTGCACGAGGCCACCAGGGACGACGCGCGACTTCGGCGAGCTTGCCACATACGCCAAGACAGGGGCACACTTCGACGTCGCGCCGGGGAGGACGCGGACCGCCGACGCGTGCGGCCGCGAAAGGCCCGGGCGACGCCATGAACGACAGCTTCAACAACAGGTTCCCCATCCACGAGCTCGCGCCGCCGCTGAATTTGAGGGCGCCTCTCTCTCTCTCTCTTTCTCTCTCCTCCGTTTCTCTTCCTTTTTCCTGCTCCTCGTCCCCCTCCCCCCGAATCGTGGTACAGAGCTGTCGTTGGCAGCCGGCAGGTCCTGCCGTGGCCGTGGAGGCCCCGAGCGCTCGCCACGTGCGTGCAATCGCCCTCTTCACCTCCCTTTCCTCCGTCCTCCTCCTCCCTCCGCCTCGCCCCCCTCCCCCCCGAATCGTGGTGCCGAGTTATCGATGGCAGCTGGCAGGTCCTGCTGTGGCCGTGGAGGCCCCGAGCGCTCGCCAAGAGCGTGCAGTCGCTCTGTTCCCCTCCCTTCCTCCGTCTTCCTCCTTCCTCCGCCTCGTCCCCCTCCAGCCACGCTGCTCACTCTCCCCGCCTTGTGGTCTGCCTTTCGTGTTCCTGCTGCTCCTCCTCCTCTGCCCCGCCCGGTGTCACCTATACGATTCTGGGGTGGATTCGTATCGCTCCACGTTCGCACAACATTGTCGGGGAAGCGTTCCCCTGAGCAGTTGTGTGGCGGGAGCTAGCTCAGGGTGTTGGTTCCGATTGTGCTGTTTTCCTCAGTCCCTCCTCCTCTCACAACTTTAATTTTTCCGTGCGTTGCACCTGTGATGAAAGGTCACCGGTGCCACTGGTATTATTGGAGTGTTCGCTTGCGTGGTTGTTCATGGAGTTGGGGCTTTCTTGCGCGGCCAAAGAAACGACGACAACGACTTACGACGACGACGACGAAAAGCGACGACCGACGACGACAACGAATGACGACGATTGGGCGACCGACGATGAACGATGACCGATGACAACCGATGAGAGACGACCTACGACGTTTACGACCGACGAATCACGAATGACGACGACGATCGACGAAAGACGACCCGAATGCCTCCGGCTGACCGTAAACCCCCCTCCCCTTCAGTGTAAAGTGTACAGTGCAAGCGCTGCTTGAGGAACGTCGAGCTGGCGACCAATGGTGGCCTGAAAGGGGGTGCAAACATTGTAAGTATTATTGTTTTTTGGGGTCGACGTGAATCCGTGGCCATTTTGGCTCAAGTTTTGCGTTTGCGTTTTGCTGCGCGCCCAACGCAGGAGCGATGCGCGATCGAACGCCCGACGCCGGGCGCGTGGGCGCATGGATGCACGCATGGAATGGTGGGCCGACGTCCTCACTGGCAGCCCTGTGGCAGGGCCGCGCAGGAACGCAGAGCAAAGCAAAGCAGCTGGTGGCACAGCTGATGAAGCAGAGCGCCGAGAGCAGCAGCGCCCCGAGGCGGGCGGCCGCGGCAGAGCAGCTGATGAAGCAGGGCGCCCAAAGGTCAAACCCATGATCTCCCTGCAGGAAGAAGCGGTTGGCGGCCTCAGCGTGGAACAAGTTGCGAAGGTGCCCGTGGCCGTACCGCAGGAAAATATCCAGGAGGAGGCGGGTGGCGGCGGCGGCAGTGGCCAGGGGGCTGGGCCGCATTCTTCGGCCAATCGCGCAGTACTCCCACTACTCGCTGAAGGCTAGGGCGGAGCAGCTGGAGCGTCACCTGGCCGCGTCGCCACTGCAGAACCCATTAGGTGGCTGAGCCAAAGCAGTGATGATGATGGCGATGATGATGATGACGACGATGATGACGATGATGACGATGACGATGATGATGATGATGATGATGATGATGATGATGATGATGATGATGATGATGATGATGATGATGATGATGATGCTGATGCTGATGCTGATGCTGATGCTGATGATGATGATGATGATGATGATGATGATGATGATGATGATGATGGCGTTGGCCCTTGCACAACATCAACAACAAAACGGGGTTGGACGGTGCCTGCGGTCGACGACGCCAGCGAGGTTGTGACCGTTACCAGTGACGATGACGATGATATGGGCCCTCATAGGAAGACTGTTGCTGGAACAGGCCCCTGGAGCAGCCCTGATGGTCACAGAGACCTTGCCATGCGTAGGATGCGCTCACGGTCTCGTGAGAATCGGCAGCGCGCACTTTGGGAGATGGCGCGCGACGACGTGCGCCAGCACCGCAAGGACTTGGACGTGCGAGCTGTCTTGCGCCAGCCGCTCCTAAACGTCCACGCATATGAGTGGCTCGCCCGTTTGAGGTACCTGCGCAATGGAGCTCGCCGCCGTCCAATATACATAATCACCGCGAGCGTCCCGTCGTGGAGGTTTCTTGGTGGCCGAGGTTTTCTTGGTAATGGCGGCCGTCGCAGTCGCGACAAAGACATGCGCCCACATCGCAAGGATTATCAAGTAATGCGTGTCCTGGCATCGCTGCCATGCCGCTAGTGCACGGCGGTTGACCAGATGGCAATTCGCGGTTCGCTAGGCGCGAACGCGAATAATAAAGTCGCCGATGCGAGAGGGCTTCAAATTAGAAGCATGTGCGATTCATATATGTATGTGCGCATGGGGTAGTGGATTGACGATTGACGTGAAATGTCGAGCGTGGACTGGGCCGGCGGTCGGCAACGCCGTTCGCTCCTTTCTTTCGTCCTCCTTTTGCAGTGGGTGCCCATTCCAAGAAACACTTTGCTTCTCTCCGGACTGCCCAATGCCCTGCTTTAGGTTTCTTGGGTCCCGATGGTTTCTCAATGGAATGTTGCTGTCGCCTGCGCGCTGGCCACGTCCCTCATCATCAGGCGTGGTGCTCTCGCCGCATCGCCGGCCACATCCCCTAGTGCGTATGTTGCTGCCGCTCGAGCGCCAGCCACAAACACATGCTGGGACGCTTATGGTATGCATATTGGAGGGGTTGCGCTGGATGTCTGGGAGGCTGTCCGTGGAGTCGTTTGATCTTTTTTTTTCCAGCGAGCATCGTGGATGTTCCTCCTGGGCTCTAGCCTTGCATCTGAGCCGAGCTCGAGGTTGGCGTAGCGTTTCTAGCTCTGTTTATCCCAGCCTCGTTTGAGCTCCGTTGTCGGCCCTGGGTTTATTTTGAGGTTCGCTTGGCGCCATCGCGGGAGCCAACGGCTCCAAAAGGGCGGGTCCCCGATTAGATATCCTTTTACGAGGTCGAGTGGTGGCATATCGGGACTCGTGGACTCGTGGGTGCTCTCGGGAAACTGGAATCTCCAGAAACGTTATGGAGTCGTTTTGGGTCTCTGTCATTCCTCTTATTGTCCACCTCGGAGCCACCTAGAGGTCGTAGGGCCTTCTGGGGGGCCGCATAGGCGGTAAAACCAAAACATGCAATAACTAAAACATTTCTAGCATGTTCGTCTTTCGGGAATGTCTTTGGGAGTTTCCAGGCCACCTCGGGCCATCTTAGGGCCTTCTGGGCGCAAGCTTGCCTGCAAGCCCAACTCTAATAATTCTTCCCTTGTGAGGCCCGACGAGCAGTGGGCACCCAGCGTCTACGGACTCCTGCTCCGACGAAGGTGGATAGTATGACGCGCACGTGTTTTTTGTTGACGATGTACCGTCAAGGCACCAGGCTCGCCTGCTTGATGATGCCGCCGAGATGAGTTGCAATTTTGGGTGATCGCCGCCCAGTCTGATCGGTTGGATAGGGGAGGCGGCGCGACTCCTTCACGTGGGTCACGGGTGCAGCTCGCTGCCAGAGCACTTGTATGACGAGGGGTACACTAGCATCGTGAGCATCGACAGCCAGAGCACAGCGCGGGTCGACAGAGGGCTGCGTCGTGGAGCTGACAGACTGGAGCCCGGGACTGACAGGGGAGCGACTTCCCCGTGGTTTTCGCCCCATCCCGTCATCTTGCCTTGGTTGTCGGTCAGGGGCGCGGTGGAGAGCCCCCCCTGGCGGGCTCCCGTGAGCACGGTTGGGAACATTGAGTCGTGTGGCGGAGAGGAAGCGCGAATTCTAGATGCTTCGCGAAACCCCACTATCACATCCAGAAACGATGTCCAGACGAGTTGCCTTGACCAGGGATGTGGAGTACCATGCAGTGGAATACAGGGTTGGGTAAGACGTCGTGCCCCAAGAGGGAGGATGGAGGAGGAATCGGAGGAGGAGCAAAAGGAGGAGGATGAGGTGGTGGTGGAGGAAGAGGAGGAGCGCGAGCAGAAAGGCCAGAGGCCTCTTGGATGCTTGTCGGAGTCTGTTCGTGCCTCTGGGGGACCTCTTGGGGCAGCTTGGGAGCCTCTTGAGGGCAATTTGGGAGCCTATTGAGGGCCTCTTGGGGCCTTCTGGGCACCTCTTGGGGCTTTCTTGGGGCACCCTTCGGAGCCCCCCCCCCCTGGATGTCAAAACGTTGCCAAACCCGTTCTAAGATCAATGATGTTGGCCTTCTCGCCGAGGTCTCAAGAGGCGTCCTGAGTACCTCTGGGGCCTCTTGGGGCCTCTTGGGGATCTCTTGTGAGCCTCTTGGGTGCTTCTTCGGGGCCCGTTGGAGCCTTCTGGGCCCCTCTTAGGGCTCTCGTGGGGCACTCTTGAGAGCCTCAGGGGCCATCGTGGAGGAGATCGATCAAAGGAGGGGGACTCCTTAATCAGGTCCCCCCCCCAGGAGGCCAAAATGTGGCCACTTAATACAATTAATGCCTTTGGCATTCTCGCCGAGGCCTCTTCGGGCGTCCTGGCTTCCTCTGGGGGGCCGCTTGGGTCTCCTGGGAGCCTCTCGGGGGCCTCTTAGGTTCCTCTTTGGATTCCGTTCGAAAATGCCTTGGAGTCCTCTTGGGGCGTCTGGGGGTCTCGTGGCAGTCCCGGAGGCTTCCTGGGGGCGCCTCTTGGGGGGCCTCTTGGAGCCTCTTGGGGGTCTTTCGGGAGCCTCGTCGGGGCCTCTTGGGCGCCTCTTTGGGCCTTCTGGGCACCTCTTGGGGCTCTCTTGGGGCACCCTTGGGAGCCTTGTAGGAGATCTTTGGGCAATCTTGGAGGAGATCGATCGAAGGAGGGGACTCCTTGATCAGGGTCCCCCTCCCCATGAGGCCAACATGTTGTTAAAACCTTGTTAACATCAATGATGGTGGCTTCCGCGCCTAGGCCATCTTGGACGCTCCAACGACCCGCCGCCTGCTCTTTCCAGGCCCAGAGGGAGGGGTTGAGGAGGGGTCAAGACAGCCTCATGATAGCAAGCCATCTAGCTCACTCCCACCCGCCCTCCCAACACATGAGTGACACCCGCGCCTCTGCATGTTCAGCGGTCGTCTTTGGATGGACAGCTACTGGGAACCAAAACCGAGCCCATGGTCGCGACTCTGGGGCGAGGTGCGTCACGCGTGCCAGGCGCGCCACGCGCGCCAGGCACCCTCTGGGGCCCGAGCGGGCCAGGCACGCCTGGTGCGCCACGTGCCTTGGCGTGCGCCAGGGGTGCCGCATACTCCAGCCGCGCCAGGTACGCCACGTTCGGGGCACGTGCAGAGTGCGTCAGGTGCGCCTGCGCACGTGACAGCACACATCTGGAAGCATGTCGGCCCCCACCGTCCTTGTCGAAAACCAATGTCCATCATTGTTTGGTGGGCCTGCGTACAAAAGGCCATATGCCACCACCCCCGCCGTCCCTGCCAAACACCACTTGGCAATGATCGCGGGGTGGCCGCGCATGATCCAGATTTAGCCGCGAGGTGTATTATGTATTGTGTTTTGTCAGGGATGGTATCCCTGCGTGCAGCAGGCAATATGCTGACACCCGCGCCGTCCCTGTCAAATAACAATTCAAAGTGCTCGCGGGCCTCACGAACATGACTCCAGACTTTGCCCCAAAGTGTATGGTGTTTTTGACAGGGATGTTTTGGGGGGCCGCATCGGGTTGGTTGCGCATGCTCCGAATTTGGAGGCAGAGTGCGTTTTGTATGTTTTCTTGATAGGGATGGTATGGAGGTGTGAGCGTTGTTTCTGGTTGGCTGCTGGTCGCCTGGGGCAGGGGGAGTATATCAATAGGGGCCAGTGATAAACCACTCCCCGAAGGGGAAGAAGGGGGGTGGAAGAAGAAACCCTCAAGACCGCTCACGCCCTGGAGGGCTGGTGGGACTCCCAATTTGTGTTACTGGCGTCTGTTCTTCTTGGGCCCTCGTGCGGCCCTGTATGGCCGTCTTGGGGCCATATGGGGACCTCTTAGGCCCGTTCGCGGCTTTACCATTCCCACAATGATCCCATCGGCGCCAGGATGGCTCCAAGATGGCCCATCACGGCGCAATACATGTCATTCTCGCCCTTTATATTTCAAGCAATTCTCTCATCTTCATGGCACGGTTCATTTGGTAATGCTGAGGGCCATCACGGTCTTGAGGGCACTCTGCAGCCAGAGGCACGGCAGTTGCAAGGACGCTGGTGCGAATTCCCCCTCCTCCCTCCTCCCGGTCCCTCGTACCTCCTCCCGGCGTCTCTCGTCGCTCGTCCTTCCCTCGTCCCTTACCTGGCCGACAAGGCTGCCTTCCTCTATACGGCCATCCAGTCAGCACACTCGCAGGGGCGGTCACGCCGGGCGGTGCAGCAAGACTCCTCTCAGCAGCGATGACATGACCGTCTGTAGGCGTCACGCGCATCGACTCAGGCCCCTCTATCTCCTGGCTTGCGGCCACCATCGACTGGGTCCTGCATGCACGCCACGCGGGCCTCCCAGCGGCGGGCGTTTCTGCGCAAGCTCCCCACCAAGCGCAGCGCCCTCGGCACTCGGCATTTGCGCCACGACATGGCCGGAGGGCGCCAGGGACGCCGCCTCCCAGCTGATCGCATGGCAGCAGTCGTTCTTGCACAGCTGCCCAGCGGATGGGGACCCGCACCCAACAGGCGGCAGCCAGAGCCGAAATCTCGGCTGACACCTCCCACCTCTACCGCTGCTGCGACGAGGCGGAGGAATGGCAGGAACACTCCGTTCGTGGGTGTCGTTCCTGGGCGCCCCATCGATGTGCGCCGTGTCACATCCTGGCATACGGTGTTTGGCGTTCACTGCCGCCTCACCTCGGCGAGGAGTTCCTCCGCTTGCCCATCTCCTGGCTGAGCTGAGCTCGTCGGCGATCCTCTCCAACCTCGGCCGCGGCCCCCGCCAGAGTCGGGCGATGCCCCCAACGAGTGCGCGCTGTACCTGGACGACGCCACGGGCAGCCAGTGGCTTCTCGTGGCCACCGAGGAGGATTGCGCAAACCCTGCTCACCCCCTGTTCGCTCGGGCAGCGCTCGCGATCTACTGACTGCCCCAAGCACCGCCTCAACTTCGCCGCACGTATGCAGGGCGTGGCGCAGAATGCGCAGAGTTCCGAGGCCGCAGCTCTGACCCGTTCGGTCTCTATCGCCGAACTTCCCCGCAAACGTTAAGTACGTGTCGTGAATAAGACAGCTGTCGTCGACGGCTTCGCCATCATCCTGGCGGGCGCTCCTGTACCAGGCCCCTCCCCTGCGCGGACTTTGGTGGCAGGTCCGCGCGGCCGTTCAGGCTAAACTTGGCTACGGCCCCTCACCCTGGCCTTCCCCCGATGGGGATCGCTGCGACTCGGGATGGATCCTTTCGCGCGGCCGTTCTGGCCGAGGCGGTGGCTGAGGCTGACCCGCTCAACGTTAGATGTAGTCTGGGGCCAGGGTCTCCTGATCCCTCCGATCCACCGCCTCCGCCCGATCCGTCGCCAGACCGTGTCGACCCTGCTGACGATGACGAAGTGTTCGCCCCGGCGTTTGACCTCACCCCTCCCAGGGCGGAAGTAGTGCTGGGTCTGCGGCGGTTCTCGCCTGAGCCCCGCGCCCAAGCCCGTGAGGTTCCGTTTCTCATTGACCTTCCGCTAGCAGGATGGCCATTGGGACATCAGCGGGCGCTAGTTCTTCTTGACCGCCGGGATATGTACCCGAGAACAGTCGCGCGGCCCTACCTCCGGGCGACCTTCTTCCCGTGTGCATTTTTCTTGATTCCTTGTATTGTGGAGGGTTTTGCGACCAGCGCCGCCGACCCAGAAGGACGACGACGACGATCACGACGACGACAACCAAGACGACAACAACTACGATGAGCTGATGACCCTGCGACAGGCTCGGGACATGGGACGGGCGGTGGAGGTAGGAGGAGGCGGCGGACGTGGACGAGGAGGAGGCAGTGGAGGAGAAGGAGGAGGTGGAGGAGGAGGGGGAGGATGAAGAGGAAGAGGAAGATGACGAGGAGACGGAGGATACTTAGGAGGAGGAGGATGAGGAGGAGGAGGAGGAGGAGGAAAGGGAGACTTATTAGGAGGAGGAGGAGGAGGAGGAGGAGGAGGAGGAGGAGGAGGAGGAGGAGGAGGAGGAGGAGGAGGCGGAGGAGGAGGAAAAGGCGGTGGAGGGGGAGGAGGAGGCAAAAGAGGAGGAACAAGAGGAGGTGGAGGTGTGATTCGCAGTGCGTTGCCTGATCCCCATGAGTGAGAGGTTTGTGAGAGCATGCTCCCGCTGCCGTTTTCATAACAACTCTTAGCATACTGAAGTCTACGCGTGCCCGGTGCACGCGCGTGTGAAAAATCTCAGGGAACGAGTCGACCTTCGAGGTGAAGGCTCCCGGCGGAGCCGGGGGAATCAGGTCTGGATTCGCATTGATTTTGAACCGAGTCGCGTCTTCTAGCGAGGACGATGGCCGACAAGAGCGCTCAAGGCGGCCAGGCTGGTTGCCAGTGGCGAAGTTTGTCCGGCAAGGGCAACGACGCGGCGACGGAGGAGGATGAGGAGGAGGAGGAGGAAGGCGGAGGAGGGAGGGCGGAGGGAGGAGGAAAAGGATGCGGAGGAGTACGAGGAAGAGGAGGGAGGGGAGGAGGA